ACGGAACATGGATCGGTAGCTAAGCAAATGTTGCAACTTTGAGGGGGGGGGGGGTGTTGCTTAAGGTTGGCTCGGAGGAGTGTAGCTTCTGAAGTTGACTTCGCAAAACAACTTCTGTGCTTGCAGTAACTTCACCTTTAGGCTTCAAGGGGTAGCATTTAACTTTAGGTGGTTTGGGATGGAGATTCCACAGTGAATGGTACTTATACACAACTTGCATGAGCCTGAGTATTATAACACAAAAAATGTGCCAAGGTGTAAGGTACTTAGGGTCAGGATCTTTAGTATCTACCAGTGTAGCATATCTTGCCAACTTAGCGTGCTCCCAATGACCTTCCGAGTCAGAAAAGCATCAGGCCTGCACTCAGTAGGTTTAGGATTTAGGGTTACTAGGGCTTACGGTCTGGGATTTATCGTTTATAAGGGCTTAAGGTTTAGGAATTGGGGATTAGGAATTGCTGCTCTGTTTAATAACAGACCCCTAAACCCTCAACCCCAAAAAATGGCATCCCCCGATAATCTCCGAGTTTCCCCAGCTTAGGTTTAGCAATGGGAGGGGTTCCAGTTGAAGATTCCTGAGGGGGGCCTGAACTATTGTTGTCCTACAAACTGCTGGCTCAACTACATGGTAACGAGCTCAGAAAATCAGGAATACAGCATGGCTTCATGTGGCAGACCGAATCGGCCTATTGTTCTTTGCCTTCATTCTCAAAATTGTCGTGACAGTAGCAACCATCTCCGAGGCTATCAAATCTTAATGTGTCTTTCTCGTTACGGTCATAATTAGTGTGAGCACTGCAGACACCCAGCTGTCTCACAACAGGATAGCTGAGGGCCCTTTGGCTCTTCAGCTACACGCTGTTGGGGTTTAGGCTTTAGGATTCAGGGCTCAGGGTTTAGGTTTTAAGCTTTAAGGGTTCAGGAAGGTGATGAATGCAGAGGCCGACCTGGCTCCCGTGCATCTTCAGTGTATCTCCTTTTGTAATTCTGTAACTTTGACCCCTCCCAAAACTGGGATAACTTAGAAAGTACTCATGTTGCTGTTGAATGGGTCTAAGAGCAATGCTTTATAACCCAAATTCGGATACTTTAACACAGGTTAGGGTGTAGGGCTTGTTGAATGGAACAAAATTACCCTAAGACTCCAAATAGCCCGATGTAGGTACTAGTTATAGCTATTAGGGCCCACTGTAGGTATCATTTATAGAAATGGAGCCCCAGGATTAGCCATGTTAAGCACTTATGCGGATTCAGACGGGAGTGCGGGGAAGTCTCTTCGGCATTTTATACAGTTTCTCAGAGACTGTCATATCACCCATACTTTTAAGCATCCCTACGCAATTTAGAGTTCAGGGTTCCCATGTAACCTGTCAAAGCACCCCTAAACCCGATCCCCCGCCAAAGGATGTATCTTCATACTGGAGGGAGGGGCCTCAGTAATTCACAGCCTGATCGTCCCAAGTTTCTTGTATATTCGTGGTCTAGATTGCCTCAGATAAACCTGAGGCTGATACACTAATTGGTAACTATTTAAGTTAATCCCTATGAAGCCTTGTAGAATCCAATGTTCCATGTCGTGTTTCATGTTCTTTCAATACATAACCCTTGTAATCTCCCACATGACACCTACAGTCCACAAACTACACTCTAAATACCAAAAGCTTACTCCCCAAACCCTAACTACACCAGCGCCACACTCAGTAATGGGTACTGCAAGGGACTATGGTAGGTATATTAAGGCCCTAACAAGTCCATATTAAGGAACTACTACTATAGGGGGGATTGACTGGGTTGCTGTTAAGGAACTTAAATTAAGTTACTATATTGGGGAAACCCTATTATTTACAATATATACCCATTATGGTAACTTAATTTAAGTTCCGTAACAGCAACCCAACCCAGTATTGGGGAGATTGACCCAACTTTGACTTCAATGCCAGACCTGCATGCAAGCACCGAGCAGCAGCCAGGTCACAATGATAGAGAAGACGGTCTGGGTCCTTATCCAAACGTTTAAGAGTTTAGGGTTTAAGGCCTAGGGCTTCGGTAAGATCATTGGATTTTGGGTTGTTCTTGGGGGGTTTTGGGCTATCGCTGGACCTATTTTGGAGGCTTCGGGTAAAGGTTCGGCTGTAGTGTGTAGGGCTTAGGAAGAAGGGCTTAGAGGCGGTTCAGAGAGTTGTAAAGTAGATCCTTAGGATGACAGAGCTGAAGGTCCAAAGATCGAGGACTTGAGGCTTTCAGGAATTGTGGGACCTTTTCAAATTAAACGCCATTCAACCCTGAAAGAGGACCCCCTAAACCCTAAAGCCGGAACCCTAAGCCCTAAACCCTTAGCCCCAAAAATATGAGCAAGGGCATTTTCACAAGAATTCAAAAGAAAAGATCCCCAAACATAGGTTGTAGTGCCTGGTGCTCGGGGCTTAGGATTTGGGATTCAGAGTTTAGGGTTTAGAGTTCAATGTGGGGTTTATTCAGCGCTTAGTATTAGAACCCTAAACCATAAACATAAACGCACTGCGAATCTGTGGGTCCATATTTGCCCAAGCTTCAAGGGCAAATAGAAGTAGGGTGTAGGGTTCAGGAATATCCAAGGTAGACTGTACCATTGGTGTTCCGCAGCGGGCAGTAGTACTACTTGGTAGTCCCTTGTAGGCTTCTGTGCTTGGGCCTTGCCTCTCTGGCTACATGACATCATCATCTTAGGCACGGTTGGTGCCACGCCAAACACCCTGCATGACCTCATGATACCAAGGTTTCGAAGCTTTACCGTACCTGGAGCCATGCAGGATTTGGAGTATCCAATGTCTTTCTCTCTCGTCGTTACGACAGTGACCCTTTACTATGCTATGGACTGCCAGTGGCAGACTGCCCTCCAGTCTATTCTTCCTCACACTCGTTACAGCCAAACCGAGCCAATGTTTCAGTGGGTCTTGGGCCATTGATTTACACATTGTAGACGCATGTAGGTAACAACAATGAAGGAGACAGTGGTAACACAAACAAGAAAGGCACAAAACAGAAGTGCGACTATTTATAAAGCAACGAATTGCAGGTCTGCTGCTTGCAGTGGCAACAACCATTTTGTACAAGCTGTGCTAGCCGCTGATGACAGCTGAGGGGTTGAATAGACTCCACGGCTGCAATCCCCTGAGCGTCATAAATTTCCGCTAAACCTTTGTCCGTGTACTTGGAGCCTGTAGGATACCCTAAGGGTCCAAGGACCCAACACCTATAATAGTCATGGTATTTGGACCCTAAACACCGTATTATTCGGGTCCTTGGACCCTTAGGGGTAGAGAAGATAAAAAGGCTTACAGAGCAACGCTTTTTGCCGGCAGCCGATGTGAAACAACGCAACTGCAATCGAATCCTTGGCGTGGACTCTTGGCAGTGTTGCACCAACCAGGTCTAGGGTTGAGAATACCCGTGTTCAAATGGAAGCTAAATTGAAGCCAACAGCCCTGAGCCTAAACCCTAGACTTACTTGTTCTTGGTAGGGAGTGAAGGAGTAAAATCCCTTTATAATCCCGATATAATCTAGTCCCATATATTCACTACTTAGAACCAAGAAGTGAACCCTACATCTAGGGAGCTCTAGATCTCGAACCTCACAGGATGCCAAAGAGTAGAGGTTGGGGTTGGCCTAGGTACGAATTTACAAAACACTACCCAGAGCTCTATACCCTACCTCTTTTTTGGAGTACTTAATTTACATATAGGGGATACTAGACATATCCTAGAAACGGGGTTGAGTATGGGGGGGTCTAGGTAATGTCATACAACATTGTACTCTGAACATCGAACTTAGGGGCTCGTATTTTTTAAAGCTTTCCCTGGCTAGGAGCTGCATAGCCCCGCTACTCAGCAACAACACAGGCTTTAAAACGGAGCGTGTGGGATTTCAGAGGTTTAGGGGTCAGGGCCGTAGTGTTTAGCCCGTACGACAGTCAGGTGTATATGAGTTATAGTCTAAACTCCTAGTATCCCCCCTAATATCCCCTATAGTAGTCCCTTATATAATCCCTTATATAACCCCCTTTTGAAGAGTTTAGACCCTAAACCCTAAAACCTAAACCCTACATTTTATATGATCCCCTACATAACCCCCTCTGAGGAGTTTAGACTATGACGGGATATGTGGTACTTAGACCCAAGGGATGCAGTGAGAGCGCTTTAGGGTTTAGGGCTCAGGTTGGAAATCTTCTGATTACACACACATGGGCTTGAACGGCTTCGCTGACGATCCAGGTACCAGCCTGAAACCTTAGAACAAGGCTTTAGGTAATCAAGCTTCATCAGCCTAAATCTGGGACAGAATGAGGGGCCCTTCACAAGCAAAAGGTTTACGGCTTTACAGGATATATATATATATGTGTGTCATATTATATATATACAGATAAACCGATGCTCCATAACACGTACACAAAATTCCTAAGAATATCCCAGGAAAAAAGCGCCCCTAAACCCTAAACCTAAATCGGGTACAATCTTTGCATACGCGGTCCACAAGATGGTACACTAACGCGCATCGCTTTGGATGCGAGGGGCAAACGGCTCTGCAGAGCACCGTTGTTCTTTGGGGCTTAGGGTTTAGGGCTTAGGGTTTAGGGTTCGGAGCGCGGGTCTCTACAGGTTCCTCATTGGGCTTCAATAGACACAAATGAACATTTCGTTCAACAATGACCCAGCTTAGTTGGCAACTGCTGACGAGTAATGTGGTTTGCCCCCTTAGAAGTCACATCAAACTCTAAACCCTAAACCCTTGTTTTTTTTCTCGCAATTTTTGGCTCGTCCTCCAAGCTAGTGGCCGCGTGGGGATGCTTACTATACCTAGACCCCTATGGCCTACCCGTTTTAGGATTCCTAACTTTATGTATGGTATCTTCTATCCACAGAAATAGATACCCTAAATAAGAGGTAGGTTATAGAGGTAGTACGTCTTCTAATATTGAAGGGAGCTACTACTAACCTACGATGCGGCTCGGTGCTCAGCAACATCAAAGAAAATCAGCGGCCCGCGCCATCCGGCAAGTTCGTAGCCTGCACAGGAACCCTAAACCCTAAATCTTCAACTCTGAACCCAAAACCCTAATACCTGAGCCCTAGACCCTAAAAGCTCCGGTTAGGCTTCGTGCACCTGAAGGGTTGAAGGGCCACAGGGCTAGGGTACTTTCGACAGGGATGTGGCATACGCAGCCTCGCACTCCCCCTCTTTACCCTGAAGCCCGCCAGCTTGAGCCCTAAGCCCAAAAAAATGAAAGGCTGGAACCCCAAACACCCACGCCCAGAACCCCTAAACCCTGAACCCCCTAAACCCCCTAAACCCCCTAAACCCGGCTTGGGACGAGCCTTGTAGGTGCCAGACACACAGCCGGCAAACAAGCTTCAACGGCAAGCCTCCGGCCGGCCGCAGGGAAGCACAGGGTTTTAGGGTTTAGGGTTCAGGGTTCAGCTAACATACGGAACTATGAATTCCAAACGGAAAATTTTGTGAGGATTGGATGGGGGGCCTGATTTGTGTGAATAGAATTTTGGGTATACACGTTACATTGGAACAATGTTGGTAAAGTATGAGGCGTCTGCACCCTTTCCCCGAAACTGACATAAGCGTAGACTACATTCCTATCGAAGCATACGCTGACCACAAAAAGGATATCATGGGACTCATACTTGGGCGATAGTATTGGGGATGACACGGAGCTACCCTTCCAAAGGACATTTGTCCTTAAATGGTGGCCTTGTTGTTGGAGGACTCCATATATAATCCCCTATATAAACCCCCTTAAGGAGCTTAGACAGTTGCTCATATTATAATGCATTTTGAACATCTTTGGACCCTTGAAGAGTACTTTTAAGCCTGAAGCCCGAAACCTTAAACCCTAAGACTTCAAGCCAGAGCCAACCCTACTGGAAGCCTTGCACCCTGCATCTAGACCCCGTATACCCTACCTCTCTTTTAGGATACCTAACTTTATGACCATATCTTCTATATACAAAATCAGGTATTCCAAAAGCAGCAATAGGGCTCAGAGGTTTAGGTAGAGCAAGTCTCTCCTTTGTGGTGCCTGTGGTCAATGTCCAGCTTAGGCGGCTGAAACGATGGTGAGTGAGGAGCCCAGTGCGGTTCGCGCACAAACTCCTCGAGGTGAAGGGTTTTGGGGTTACGGGTTAGGAGGTTTAGGGTTCAGGGTCTAGGGTCCCGTGGGGCTGCGTGTTTATAAACATCACCTACATTTGAGCCCCCAGTCTACGAAAATTTAGCCACAAAGAAATCAACTCCTGGGGAAATATGCATAACATCATTATCCTGCCAATATTCGGCCGCTTCGACTCAACCTCTAAAAAAACCTTCAAGCCTGAGTCCCTGAACCTGAGAGATTGGGCGTAATCCCTAAGCCCGAAAGCCCTAAAGCTCTAAATGCTTAAGCCATCAGTCCAAAATTCCCACACGCACACACACCAACCCTGAAGCTCCACGCCCCTAAACTTGAACAATGAATCCCAATCCCCCCCCACACCACCAGCCCTACATCCCTAATTTGCAAGTCCTGGATCTCGAAGCCCCTGACCTATGCCCCTACATCTTCACATGTGAGCCATAGTCTAAACTCCTTAACGGGGGTTATATAGGGGATTATACAAGGGACTACTATAGAGTGATTAAGGGGGATACTAGGAATTAAGATTATGGCTCATGTGCTTTCAAGGGCCATTAAATCGGCACTTGGGAGGCCTAGGTACGCGGTAAACACTGGGAAACTAAAGTAGCTAGATTCCAAAATCGTCGGACCCCATACAACCCCAACCCCTCAAACATAACTGCTTCACCCTGAGCCATACCTGCGCCCCAAAAGTAGGTAAAATCATAGCCCGAAA